GGTTTGATTCTTTTGTAAGTTTTGCTAAGGTTTTCCTCTCACACTGAAAGTGTGGGCGATTGATTTAAAGTGTTTATTGCCACACCTATATGTCCTCCGCTTAGAACAGCACCCAAAAAAAGAGAAAGGGGCTACTGTGCTGCTTGCTTGCTTTGCTGAGAAAAAGTTGGACGAATTGTTGGATAAGTGAGTTCGTCAAACTCGTGCTTTCTTTTCTCCGGAATAGAAGAGCCAGACTGGGGAGTTATTTCTCTCGAACTCATTCCAGTGAGAGTGTGACTCATATTCATAAAAAAGAGAAAGGGGCTGCTGTGCTGCTTGCTTGCTTTGCTGAGAAAAAGTTGGACGAAATGTTGGATAAATGAGTTCGTCAAACTCATGCTTTCTTTTTTCCGGAATAGAAGAGCCAGACTGGGGAGCTATTTCTCCCGAACTGAATCCAGTGAGAGTGTGACTCATATTCAACTGTTGTTTCTGTGAGACGGTAGAGTGGCTAGTGATACTTTGAACGTTTTTGTGTCCTGACAGTTGCATAACATCAGTTAGCAGCACGTCGTTGTTTCCAGTTTTTCCATTATTTACTGCCAAAGTAAAAACGGTGCATCGTCGGTTTTCATTTCCGCGGGTCGCTTTTCTGCGTAGACTTTGTAGGCCTTTACTGGACATTCTGGTTGTTCGGCACAGCAAAAATTTTCAGTGCAATGGCTCTTACATTCCGTGGATGGTTTCCTGAACGAGTTTTGGTTTCTCTTTCATTGAATTGGAGGTACTCCCGCCCTGTGGAAGTTTTGACAAAGTTTTACGTCTCCCCTTGAACGCATTTCTCTGTGCTCCTTGCAGCCTAGTAACCCGAAATGGATCATGTTGTTGAAGTATACCATGTTTAAAAGCGCTTCTGCCGAGTAACTTCCCAAGAGATCCTTTTCAAACAGAACTTGAACATCTTCCTCACTTAAAGGAGCGAAGCATTAGGCTTGTTACCCATGCCTTTCCGTTTTAGATCCCTTTGCTTTGACTGAAGCGCTTTCTGAGTTTGCTCGAACTGGACGCTTTTCATAAGACAAAGTCCATAGTTTATTTTTCTTCGAATTAGGCTCGCATTCCTAGTTGTCTTCTTTTTTGCGAACCGTTATAAGGAACCCGCTGAGAAAATTGTTCAGCGTTTGAGGAGTCATCAGCTCATTTGCCTCGTCTCGCCTTTCAAAACAAGAAATTCGTGGAACAGAGCAACATATTAGACATAGTTTGAAGCTACACTGGTTTGCAGATTTAATGAATGTAACCGAAGAAGTTACAATTCATAGACTCAACGTTTCGACACTCCTGTCTAGTGCCTTCATCAGGGGTGATCTAAACGCTGCAACAAGAGGTCCTTTTATATGATCACTAATTAGCGGCCTTTTTTCTGACGAGGTGTAAATAGGCGTCAGGAAGCAGACCGCCATCGTCACGATTTAAAGGAGCGTGAGCGGAGTTGATGTGCCAAGCCTCCAAACAAAGGCGCTGGTGGTAACGCCGATTAGTGGTGATAATTTTAGAATTATCCCACCCAATTGTATGGTTGGTTAGGCAAGTATGCTCCGATAAAGCTGAATTTTCCTTTTGCAAAGAAAAACCGCTTTTTGTTGCTCTTTTAACCGTGTACCAAACTGGCGTTTGGTCTGTCCGATGTATTCGTTGTCACAGTCATTGCAAGGAATAGAATAAATGGCGTCGGTTCGTTGTTCTTTCGTGACAGGATCCTTAGGTTTGGTGAAAATATGCCCCAAAGTCTGAAAAGGTTTTTGAGCAACTTTAACGTTGTGGCTAATGGAGTGATGATGGTAGACAATCAGCCCTCCTAAGTAAAGTTTTGGCTACAGACTTCTTATGGCAAATAGGGTGGTGAGAATCGAAAGCGAGGTATTTGTCGGTGTGGGTGGGTTTACGGTAGACACTTGTCTCTAAATGACCCTGAACCCCTCTGGACACATTTAAATCAAGAAAGGGCAAATGTCTATCCTTTTCACGTTCAAGGGTGAATTGGATCGACGGCTCTACTGAATTCAAATGCGACAAGAGGCGCTCCGCTTCATTTCCGGATACCGCAGAAATAACATCATCGACATATCGTTTCCAGAAAAAGGGTTTAACCGGTGAAGTGGCTAAGGCCCTTTGTTCCACGTCTTCCATTACCATGTTAGCAATGACAGCAGAAACAGGCGAACCCATAGCTGTACCAAAAACTTGTTGATAGTATGTGCCGTTATATGTAAATTGCGTGGTTTTGAGGCAAAAAGACAGCAGATGAATAATATCCTCCACAGGCAAAGAAGTTCTTTGTCCTAGGGAAGCATCTTCTCTGAGTCTTTCCTCTGCAACCTTAACTGCAAGATCAACTGGGATTTTAGTGAAGAGCGAAACAACGTCGAAAGATACTAATTCTTCACAAGCGTCGAGAGTTTTATCTCTTATGAAATCCGTAAATTCGCAGGAATTTTTGACAGTGTAATCAGTATTCCCAACAACAGGCGACAAAATTCTCGCAAGATAACCAGAAATTGCATAAGTCGGAGAATTAACAAAAGAGACAATGGGTCTCAAAGGAATTCCCGGTTTATGAATTTTAGGTAAGCCAGCCTATTGTTAAATCTTTTTCTTAGTGTTTTCATTTTCCTGTCCGTCTATGAACTCCTCTACTGATAAACCTAGGCTCTGAAAACGGTTAGTCTGATTTGAAGCCATCTTTCTTGGTGGCTTTATAAGGGTCGTAGTAATATATATCACATCCAAAAAACTTTGTGGCCACATGCAATGCACGTATGTAGCGATGAATGAAATTACGAATAACGGCGCCACCGTCACTCCGCCAATGAATTGTTCATACGTTTGTATTTTTGAGCGTAGCGCTGGTGGTATTATTGTACGTTATTGTTCATCTAATTGTAAATTTATTCCGATTTCTTCGAGAAGTTGACATCCTCCCGGTGTAGCGTGAGATTTTGAAGGTAAAGGCACGAGAAGATAACACCGAGCGCCGAAGGCCGTCCAAAGTAATGAATCTAGGAGCATGCTCTTATAGAAGATTTTAAATCTAGCGTCTCGAAAGTGCCATTTCCTGCATTTTTCATTTGAGCTCTGAGTGATAAAGAAATCAATAGGTCGCTTAGGGCGAAGAGTCAACTTTCGGCGGATGGAATTGAGAATTTTCCCTTCTAAATGCTGTTTTATGGCATCAACAAGCATAAAGAAGCTTCAGAGTGCTCAATGCAGGCATCCACCATAAGTTGTATACATAAATTTGATATATAGTTAAGTCCGCTCTTTGTGCAGTGTTGTTTGTAATTTTAAAAAATGAGCCCGCTCTGCTAAAAAAAAATTGAACCGAAATCACAATATATTTTCGAATTTACATACCCCACTCTCTTATTTTAATTATTTTGAATAAAAATGTCATCGGGAACAAGTTTGATTTTTAAGCAGAGGCGAGATTGAAAGTTGCATGTTTACGGTTATAGCAGCAGAGGCAAATAGGTGTTAAGCGAAAAAATAATTTTCAGTGTCAAAAACCACTTAAAAATAAAAAAAAATTACGTGATTTGTTCTTATAAATGATCGATCTAAATGTGCGAAGCGAAAAAGTTCTTCAAACAAGAATTTTGTGAAAAAACGAGCCATTTATGATAGTTAATCAAAAATAGGCCTTCGAGCGCAGAACGGATTTTCGCACGGGAAAAATTTAGTTTTCATTATTTCGGGAAATCAAGGTTGCTTCGTATTCTTTTAGACTAAGACCGATTCATGGGACTAGTTTGAAAGAGATCAATTGTTTTAAACCGAAATGCACCGGTCCGCTTCTAGAGAGACTGCGACTTAAAGCTCCAGAAACCATATTCTACTGGGAGATGTGGCAGCGCATTGAAGTTGCCCTGCCCTGAACTCACAGTAGCAAATAATCTCTGACAGCTGTTGTTTTAGAAACTATCAAATTGTTCTAACTCGACATATGAACAGTACTACAAGCTTCTGAACTTACGGTATTTTTAGGAATATTAAGACAACTAGAACTGAGTAAATTGAATAGCGCGTTCAACCACTTCATTTTTTTTTCCTACGAAATTTACTATTCGAACCAAAGAGGAAGAATTGTACACTTGTTTTATGATAGAAATAATAATGATAATAATAAAATAGACACAAAAACGAGAAAGCAAAAGAAGCCCAGACATTGAAAAGTTTCTCTTAACCAGCCTCGTTTCCATGTTCTTGAGGGTCTCCAAATGGCCTTGAGCCGCAATTTTTTACAAAAATAGATTTCAATCTTAAAATATCTCTTTCATGATCAAAACCAAGTTTATATGCAAAATTTGAGCCAAATCAGTGGGCCTGTCTGTCCGCAGCTTTTCGATCTGGCTTCTTTTTTATGGACTATCGCTTTTGATAAGGCCGAACCAACACTTGACCAAGGATATTTTATCAAATCGCTCGGTTCAGGAAAAATCGTTCGCTACATACATCACAGGGAACTTCTGATTGAACTTTTCGAATTCAATCACAAAAAGGGCAAAATCACGAAAATTGTCTAAGCTATTTCAAATGCTCTTTGCATACATATCAAACTCAGTGTTAACAAAAGCTTCTATCAAGTTCCGGCGATCACGCCCCCACCAATGTCTGACTCAAGAACGCCTAAGATTTGAAACATTTTACAAGATTACTCAAAAACATTTCAACGGCGATCAGTTTTACCAACGAATTAAAAAAAATGAATATTAAAGCTATTGTATAAGACGTTTTAAAATACCAAAATCTTAAGATTTAATGGGTCAAAATCCAAGTTTTCAAATCAAGTTTGCGCAATATACAATAAGACGATCAAAGGTCATTTCACGCCAGTGTGAAAACAATGGGTCCGTACTCTTCTACGCATGCTCGGATCTCGATTTTACCGCCAAATTCGAATAGATCGAAACATTTCCTTTATTTTGGTATATAATTCGGTTTGTTTTCGAGTATTTTGGATGGGTCAAATCTCCGTTAAAGTTGGAGGACTTCTGGTGTTCCTATTATTCGCTTTCTGCGGATCCGTGAAGGCTGTGGGAGATGGATCGGAAGATCAAAATAATGGATTTGCGGGCCATCCGCCACCTTTCTTCACATGCAGTATCAACAAGTAAGTTATTAATAAGAACTTAAAAATTAACTGTCTCCATTTTTTCCGGACACCAACTAATGAATTAAATTTTCATTGCTAATAGTCTCGCATATATCTTATCCCAGTCGTTTTATCCAACTTTCAGCTATTTCCTCTACACAATTGCCAAAGAGAATGAAGAGGGTAGTGGCGAGTCTGCCTTCGCTGCAATCGTGGCGAAGATCTTTCAAGAAACGGGCATTCGCGGTGTTGTTGTGAACAAGAGAATAATAAATGTCGTTCGGAAAAAGATTGGGTCGCTGTGTGCCGAACTCAAAAGAGTCAAGAAGAAAAGTGGAGGTTTCGGTGTCAAAAGAATCATAAACAAATGGCGTGACCAAACTTATGAGGTGAAGATATTTTATCACGAACTTCACAAATACGTTATCGAAAAGGAGAATCAGGATTTACGAGGGAAGAAACGAACACTGGAAGAATCTTTAGCGAATGAAACAACTAAGCGACAGAAACTCGAGAAAAAACTCGGCGACACAGAGAGGAGCTGCAATTATCTGAAAAAAAGGTTTCAAAATCTTGTTAAAAAAGTTGAGAAGAAGAACAAGAAAGGAATTAGGGGCCCTGAAAAAAAGTCATTTGCTGAGTATTCAAAGCAGCACCAAAGCAGGATTAAAAATAAAATGAAAGAGGAATGTCAGGCCACTCTTACTTTCCTTGGATTGTACAATTTTATGGCCACCAAAGTTGAAGTGTTTAACACTGACACAGAACAGTATGACACTTTTAACTTAATTGATGAGGAACAAATGCAACAATCGGACACTGAGGGAAATGAAATAACTGACACCCAGGCTGATGACATCAACTACTGGATTTACATCAAGGACAAATTCAATATTTCCAATGATGCATGGCATGAAATGGCATTGAGATCTAAAACAATACCAAATACTTACAAGACAACTCGAAAGATAAATGAATTAAACCAGCAATGGAAAATAAGAGATACCCCTGGTCAAGCAGAAGGGGTGCAAATCAGCTTCAAAGAAAGCCTCAAGGAACAAATTGCCAACTTACAAAGGAAAGGAGATTTAGAAGGAGATACCATTGGGGTGAAGATAAGTGGAGATGGCACAAACATTGGAAAAAGACTTAAGCTAGTAAATGTAACATATACAATTTTAAATGAGAAAGAGGCTGCAATGAGTGAGAAGGGCAATTATGTTCTGGCTATACTCAAGACAAGTGAAAACTATGACAATCTGAAGGAAAGTCTCTCTGATTTAACACAAGAAATGTCGAAATTAAATAAGGTAACAGTTGAGGGTAAAACCTATAATATTGAATACTTTCTCGGTGGGGATTGGAAGTTCCTGGCATGTGTCTGTGGGTTGGGGGCTGCTAACCAAGACTACGCCTGTATCTGGTGCAAATGCCCTCGCAACCAGAGACATGACATCCAAAGGGTATGGTCACTTTCTAACAGTGCTCAGGGTACCAGATCACTGGAGGAAATTTCAAGCTTTGCCAAATCAAAAAAGTTTAATTGCAAAGCAACTCCATTATTTAATTTCATACCAATTGATCATGTCATTATTGATACCTTACATTTATTTCTCCGCATATCAGATAATTTAACAGAACTTTTAATCAGGGAATTAAGGAGAAAGGATGCTTGTGAGAAGATAACAACATTTCACAATGGTTTTTCTCGAGAGAAATTTAAACATATGGCAGCATATGAAACGTTTCTCAAAACCCTTGGCATTTCTTTTGAGTGGAGAATAAACAAAGACACAAAAAAACTGGACTATAGAGATCTCACGGGTCCTGAAAAACTAAAGGTCATGCAAAATATTCAGTTCTCTTCTCTTTTGCCTGGTTACAACAATTCAGAAAAGCTTCATTTACTATGGGGTGGGTTCATGGACATCATTGGTGATTTAAAACTTGATTTTCCAACAGATCAGTCAATTGATCACCTTAAAGAAAAAATTGAGGGATGGTTTAAGATTTTCTTGTCTCTATACCAAGCCAAAGATATCACACCATATATGCATGCCCTATATTTTCATGTTCCTGAGTTTTTAAAGTTGTATAAAAACATTGCATATTTTAATCAGCAGGGTATGGAGAAATATAATGATGTAGCTTCTAAGAATTACTTTAGATCCTCTAACCACAGAGGAATTTCTGCTTTGCGACAGCTTCTCTTAAAGAAATACAGAATTCAATTTTTGGAAGCAGCAGGGTATGAGAGGGTGAAACAGAATTACAAATGCAGTAACTGTTCCAGTCCAGGTCACACAATCAAGACCTGCACCAAGCAATGTAAACATTGTGATCACCGTACCTGCTGTGCACACCTTGTTAAGTGTGAAGGTAAATGGGTCCCAAAATGTTGTTCTGGTGCTTCATAGAGATACATTTTAAATGGTAGAGAAAAATCGATTCTCTGGTTACCTAGATGTATCACAGTTTTAAGTTACAATTTGAGGCTGTTGTTTATTTATAGATTACAGAAAACAAAATCACAACCTCCATGATTCCACAAAAACAGCGTTTTAAAACAAGTTTCATGAGATATAAAATAATGGAAAAATAATTTTGTTGCAGTGAAGCAGAAGATGAAAACATTTTGGGACTATCCGGGGTCAGAATAAAAACTGAAGCCTGCTTTACTCACAGTTTGGTACTCATAACACTTTCCCTTAGTATAAATACAATTTATATTAATTAATTATGACATTGTTTGTATTGTTATCTGCAGAATGATTAAAAAAAATATATAAACTATAAAGTGAGATTATGGATAAAAACAAGTCAGTTCCTCGTAGCATAATTATGCCTGTTTCCATCTCCTCTAACAAATGTAAATGTTAAATAAAAGTTGTTCTCTATTTCAGATTTGATGTACTTTCCCCCTATTACCTTGAATTCTTGAATGGGATTCCTTCTAGCCAACCAGAAACGCACAGTTCCTTCAATAACAAATGCAAAGTCACCATTTTCGTTAAAAATACGTTCATCCCATTTGACTCCAAGCAAATGGTTTAATGTCTGATTAGAATCAATACTGTACACGACCTTGCCACGCTCTGTCTTTGCTTTTCCCGCCAATGCCAGTCCTCCATTAAATACATCTTGATCAATTCGAACTTCAACACGAGTGGACGGATCATCCTTCCTGCCAGAATATAGCTTTCTTTTTATTTCACGATATAGCTCCCCGTGAATCAATTCCAGGCGATCGTCAAGCGAAGAAGACGACGGACTGGAAAGAAGTTCCATCCGCTGGAAAAGATTGTTGTCTTTAGATTCACATGCCCGCCACTCGTCGTAGCGTTCACTGTAGCCAACGTAATGGATCTTAACTCGCTTTCCGACCTTGTCCACGTCTGTTACAACCACAGGATATAGTTTACGGTCGGTTGTTTTTACTCTTGTCTTTTTTCGGCAAAGCTTCGATGAAAAGACTTCTTCCGCGTATCGTTCTGGTGCTATGATCTCCCTCTTAACTCTCACTGCCGCCATCGCCGCCATCTAACCTCTTGCGCTTGCGCAATACCGAAAAATTTTGGCCGCGCCAGACTGGACACAAATTTAAGCAAATGTTCACGTTCGTGGGAGATAAGTTTGATATGACTATTGTTTGTGTTTTCACCTTATTTTATAATGGTAAGGAAAAGCCCATTTAAGAAACTCGAATATCATGTTGTTTCCCATGCCGACATTGAAATCTTTCCTGTGGAAAATAATAGATTGACGAATGTGTTACTTACGGATGGATGTCTTAAAAGACATTTGCGCCTGATAAGCGAAACTAAATAATGGAGTTGACAGATTTACCTGAAAATATAAATACGTTGCTGTACTATGAGCAACATGGGCTCTTACCAAAAACATTCCTTGTCACTTGAAGATATTGATGATAATGATAATACGTTTATATCAGTAATGCGCCTGAACACTAACTATCGTCATTTGTTGACAGGCTCTTGGACAACAACCAGTTGGAGAATTTGCCAAAAGACATATTTATGAACAATATCGAATTAGAAGTGCTGTAAGTCAAAAGTGAAGACTATTCTTTCTAATTTTAATCATGCAAGCAATGTACAGGGACGACGAGCAGGGACAACGAAAGACTTACAGGGATAATTGTGACAGTTACAACATTGCAATGATCAGACATATTCACCAAAGTCACAAAGTGTATCATTGTTTTAAAAAATATCAGTAGCTAAGGCTAGGCTTTTTAGTCATCAATCAGACAAAATTTATGATGTATCCACTCAGGCCATTAGTTCTAAGACTAATTAGCCTCCGAGCATTAGGGTGCAAGGAAGGGGCGGGGAGGAAGGTTGGCTAGCCACTGGAGGGTTACATCTTCCATGCTAGGAAAAGGGAGTTCGTCCGCTCGCGCTTGATTCTAAATCTTGGATAAGTTCGTTACAGAAAATAAACAAGTAACATGAATAGGCAATAATTTTTTTGGATACTCTCTAAATTAACTAACTTTCTATGCAAAGCCTTAATTGTGTCTAACGTTTGCATAACCTTCTTGGATTCTCCCAGCTTCCCTTCGTGTTTAGATGAGAATATATAAACACAGAAAAAGCTCTCTGCCGTTCAAATATAGAATTGACGGAATCCACGAGATTTGGTCCGAACGTTGCTAGAACAATGAAGGAAAAAAAAACGATGTTGGCCTTTTCGGTGCTTAAACTCGGCAGCTCAATGTAAAGAAAATTAAGAGCTAATGTCAACGTGCATCAAACAAACAGCGGCAAGTCACCCAAAATTTGCTTTCACTCCTACTTTCCTGTTTGGTAGCCCAGTATGTCCTAATGATTGTGGTGTAGGTTT